ATGTTTATTCACGCTCATATTCACAGTGTGATTTGCCGAAACAATTGAAATAATACTTGCAAAAATGTGTTTGTTCTGTGAGAATTGCTCTTACACATAATTCATTTGCCACACAAGCAAATCCGCTCGATTGAAATTTACACGTAATTTCATTCAGCGGGCTACAGATTTGCCGAATCGACCAATCCATTTTTGTCCGTGCGTGTGGCTAACGTTTCGAAATTGCTCGTACCGCTGCGAGAGGGTCCCGGTGTCTCTTCCCCTCTGGAGGGAACCTTTCCTATATTTTCAGTCTTCTTCTTTTGGTCTTTTGCGTGCGGCCTCGAATATTCTGTAAGCCGCCGAGAGAGCCGGGCGTTGTGCGATATAAACGAGCCATTGTGAGGCGAGCGTCGATAAATCGACGCGGCGGCGGCCCGATGAGGTAAATTGTAATTTGGAGGTCGTCACATATTCAGCGGGTCGCTCGCTGTCACGCGGCGGAGCCGAGCGAAGCGCGTACGTTGACCTATCGTGTGACCTCCGACAACACGACCTTGATGTCGATGATGATGAAGTGGACGTGGATTTGCGTACGGTGAGCCTGCACATATGCGAGTCCGCGCGCGCCGCCGAAATGAATTCGCACTTTTTCCCCGCGCGCCGCGTCGTGTTTATTTTCGGAAACCAGTTTTGACAAATCGCTCGCGCACCGCGCGGCAGCATAGGACGAGCCAATTAGCGGCGTCGAGTAATCAGCGCGGGCTTGTTAATTTCGTAATTGCGATCGCGCGGTGATGTAAGCACGACACTTTCGTGATTTTTTTTCGCCGCGCTTCCTGTCAGGGAAATTCGCTTCAATACGGCACAGATTTAATTAGCCTTATACCAGGAGACCTGGTTTGTTTGTAAATAGCTTCCAAAGTCGGAATTGTTGGTATTTTCGTCTTGGAAGAGTGCAACGACGAACTGACAACTAACATTTAATGCAATTTGGTGAACAGCACGTTGGCGAAAATAAACTGCATCACAATTCGTTGTATATGCCATTGTAAATAACAGTTATATTATCCAGTGAAGAATTGGTACGGGCATCTAGAGATTAAAAGAGAAAGTAGACAGTTTGCGTCCGAGGAATCTTGCATTATCGACGCAAGATAATCTTGCGTTATCGATGCAAGATAATCTTGCTCGATTTTCCGTCAGACGGTGCAGCAGGATATCTCTTTAATCGGATGCTCAATCGAGCCTTTGTTGATTATTAAATTTAATTGCTTTCGCGTATAATAATATATATATATATATATATATATAATAATATATATATATATATAATAATATATATATATATACGTTTTAACATTAAGAACAAATTTCTTTCAAGTAAGGCAATATATATCTTTTTAAAACACCGTTACTTTTCATGAAAAAATAATTGTTTATTCAAACAACAATTAATAACTATTAAACAAAAGAATTCAGATTTAGGTAAATATCCCAGTAAACACAAAGTATCATCGATGTTACAATGTCAGTTCAATCATATGATATATTACGTAATTGTTACTTTGTTATATAACAAAGTAACAGTTACATAATATATCATATGATTGAGCTGACATTGTAATATGGATCATATTTTAGGTTTGTTTTTCGTTCCTGTACTGCTGAACTGGTGCAGTAAGTTAGAGCGAGAAAAAATATACTTGTCTCACTCTAACTTATTGCACCAGTTCAGTAGTGCAGGAATAGAAAACCTCTGGTGTTTACTGGAATATTATAGTACATACCAAATAAATATATAAATAGTACTATTATAGTACTCATCGAATAAATAAATATATTTCATTTCAGATACTTTTTCTCTTAGTGTGCGATATAACGATATTTTTAATCTAATTATTTAAATTTCTCTCTAAACATCTTACCGAGATGTAAACACGAAAGATAAGTGGTCTGTTCTTTTCAGCTGCACTGCTGAACTGGTACAATAAGTTAAAGTGAGACAAGTATATGTTTTCTCACTCTAACTTATTGCACTAGTTCAGCAATGCAACTTAAAAGAACAATTGATAAATCGTAGGATTACCTGGAACCAATATTGAGAGAGAGAGAGAGAGAGAGAGAGAGAGAGAGAGAAAGAGAGAGAGAAAAAAGAACAATTGGGTACACGAAGCATTTTAGGTTAGCTGTCATATTACTGTGTTTACTATAAGTGATCGACGCGATCGGTAACGTCAGAATTCTCCAATTATCTCTAACCTTCCCGGCAAGTCGCGTAACTGTTTTACCGACCAGATTAACGATTAATTTTAATAATGACAACAAGGTCGTTTGGATGCAGCACTGCATACAAAAATATTAATGCGATGATGAATTAACACAAACTTACAGGAATCTGGAAGATTACGATGTAAGCGAATCTCCCGAAGCAGCTGGCTCCTGGACTGCGTCTGTTCCTCGCGACACTCGTGCATCTCCACATTCCTGGTGTAGTATGACAGGCGCCAGTCACCTCAGTCCAAACGTCCTCACTTTGTTTACACACACTCACCCCGGTTGATGTACCATGACAATTGCTCGTCATTGAATTTGGCACTCCCTTTCGCGCAAGTCCCTTTTTTTACGGTTTAGCGACTTGATCGCAGCATCTCAGCTCCCTTCTTCCACTTCCCCTTCCATCCCTAGCCCTGTGAAATAAAGTAACTTTGTGACACACTGGTTCTAAACGTATCAGCCCCGATTCCACCAACATCGATCAACCCTTAAACCATGCTTAAACTATTTGAAACAAAGACTTAAACTCAGATCAAGGCCCAATCGACGTTGGTGGAATCGGGCTTCAGTCGTCTATTCTCTGTCCTAAATCTAAAATATACGACATGTATGCACCTGTTACACTTATTCGTTATGACGCCATTAGCTCCCCGCGGGACACGGCGTACGCCGGTTGCGAATGTTGACGGGCATCGCGTTCAGTCGTGTTCGAGTGGCCGACTGATGTGCTGATCGAGTCGCTCGTCACGGGATTCGACCTTCCTGTGACCGGGTCGCGCGCGAGACACGTACTCCGCGGATTATGGCTCTCGCAGCCAGCGCGATTTGCGACGCGACACGTGATATGCGACGCGCGATATCCAATGAGCGTACAGTTTTTGCGGAATACTAGTATGCTTATTGGATATTGCTTATCGTTTATCGTGTGTCGCGTCGCGCATCGTGCTGGCTGCGAGAGCCATTAGACGACGCGACAACACGCACGAACCCGTTACACTTGCCCGACATGACGCCATGATGCTTTTACGCGGAACGCGACGTCGACGGAGATATCGCGTTCAATCGTGTCCCGGCGAGTCGATTGATATACCAGACGAGACACCCGTCACAGCACCTGACATTCCTGACATTTGTGTGCGCGCGGACCGCGCAAAAAGACGCAACGGACACGGAATGACGACGAGTCACTGTTCGAGACGGCGAGACGACGCGACTATAGCGCGACGCGGTCATATAACCTGTGACGTAGCGTTTCAAATATTTCAATCGTCGTGAATGCAACGGAGCATTGATACGTCCTAGCAAACACAACGTTACATATAACATATATGTTAGTTGTAATTTCCTACTCAACAATATAACTGTTATATAACACGTATGTTATATAACAGTTACATTGTTAAGTAGGAAATTATAACTAACATGTATGTTACATGTAACATTGGGTTTGCTGGGGTACTTATGCCCGTATTCATAGTCAAGCCTTATATTTAAGGCCTCCTTAAGTTCATCTTCAAATGCTCTGTAGCCAATAAAAAGATCCATAGAGCATCTGAAGATAAACTTAAGGAGTAAGACTTGACTTAAATGTAAGGCCTGACTACTCACATAGCACGTAATATTACATAGTGTCACAGTAATATTTTCATAATATTGCAATATCGCAGAAATATTACGGAAATGTGATATTGTGTAATATTGCGTGCTATGTGAATATGAATACGGGCATTAGAGAAGCTCAGTCGCTTTCTCGAGACCGGATTGTCGCCTAGAATGTTGAGAATAAATGCCTCATGCGTTAGAGGATAATGAAATCCCGTCAAATCGTCAATACATTGCGATACAAGACGTACTGGTACTGGGTCTGTTTTTATTGCTGCACTAGTGTACACTTTTGGAACTTAAAAAGAGGCAGATATACAGATAAAACCCTGTGGAAGAAAGATGAGAGAAAACTAGTGCAGCCAGTTCACATCCGCAGCAATAGAAAACAAACTCATTACTCGTTGGTTTGTTCACGTAGCTTGCACTTTTGACACTTTTACACCTAATGCCCGTTGCACACTTTCTCGTAGAAAGAAGAGCTCTCATTGGATCTCGCTCATCGCGTCTAGTATGCAACAAGCATTAAGTATAAAAGTGTCAAAAGTACAATGCGAACAATTTAACGTCGAACGTAATCACGACTCTCGGAGATTAAATCGTTGAGTTTTCGGTCGGTCAAATTAGACTATGTCACGCGAATAACGTAAAAAATATCTCGATCATTGCGGTGTTCAGCTCGTGTTTACGTATACGTTTGAAATATCTCAATCGCCTGAATACAGCAGCGCGTTGCTACGTACTTCGAGAAACTCAATCGCTGTCTCGTCCATTTCGTCGTTCGAGATAAGCAGCGACGCATCGGTAAGGAAGTCGTCTTGTGTTCCTCGCGATTTTAGCTGGTCAGAGGTAAGCTTCGTAACAAAATTATTGCCCGAAATGTCGAGAATGAATGCTTTCGTTAAAGCATAACGAAATCCCGTCAAATCGTCAACATTGAGCACATCGCGATACAGACGGTATCGATATGTCGGTATTGTTAATAATGTTGAACGTTGTCATGATTTTAAAAGATTAAATCACTGCATCTTGAACTTTCGGCCGGCTAAATAAGGCTCTGTCACGCGAATGATCATAGAAAATATCTCGATTACTGCGGTGTTCAGCTCGTGTTTACAGAACGTATACAGTCGCAGGCAATAAGATAGACTAGTTTCAACTGTGCACGCAATTCAGTTTGTGAGTACGTCAAAAACTGAATCGCGTGAAGTCGAAACTAGTCAATCTTATTCCGCGACTGTACTTTCAAATATCTCAATCGCCGTGAATGCAGCGGAGCGTCGCTATGTACTTCGAGAAACTCAATTGCTGCCTCGTCCATTTCGTCATTCGTGACAAGCAGCGACGCATCGATCGGAAAGTCGTCCCGTGTTCCTCGTGATTTTGGCTGGTCAGAAGTGAGTGTCACAACCGAATTATCGCCCGAAATGTTGAGAATGAATGTCTCGTGCGTCGAAACATAATAAAATATCGTCACATCGCGGTGTAGACATACGTGTCGGTATTGTCAAGCGTTATCGCAATTTGGAAGTTAAATCGTTGCATCTCGAGCTTTCGACCGTTTAAATGACGCTCTGTCACGCGAATAATCATAGAAAATATCTCGATCACTACGATGTTCACGGCTCGTATTTATGGAACGTCTCAATACGAAACGTTTCAAAGATCTCAATCGCCATGAATGTAACAGAGCGTCTATAGACGCTTCGAGGAACTCAATCGCAACCCCGTTGATTTCGCACGTATGGAAGAGGTAGCGACAGAAAAATTCGTCTTGTATTTCTCGTGACTGAATCATCCACATAGAGTATCGAGAACAAATGCTCGTGCATCCGAGCATAGTGAAGTATGAAATCGCCGATAATAACGGTATCGCGAGTGAAATGTCGAACGTCGTCGTGAGGTTAAACTGTTGCGTCTCGAGTTCCCGATTAGCTGGATGAGACTCTGACACGCGAATAATCATACAGAACGTCTCGGTTATGACATTCAGTTCGCACTTACGGGACGTGTGCACGTTTGAAATATCTCAATTGCGCCGTGAGTGCGATACGCCTCCGCCCGTCGGCGGACACTTCGAGAAACTCAGTCGCCGTGAACGCAGCGCGACACGTCGGTGAACGAGTCGTGGTTCCGTTGGTCATGTTGCGAATGAACCATCGCCGGGAGTGCCGAGAATAAGTATTACGTGCGTTCGAGTGTGATCAAGTACTGTCAAACAATCGCCGGCGATGACTATTTCGCGATACGGGTGTGTCGGGAGTGCCGTGCAAAGTATCGCGCGTAGCTGCGCCTGGAAGTAACTTGGAGGTTACGTCGCAACGTTTCTCCAGCTTTTAACCGGCCGGATGACATCTCAGCGCGCGAATAATCACAGGCAATGTCGCAAGTAAGTTTCATGCATTTGTTATGGAAAAATATCGTTGAATAAGATAAAATTACCTTGGACTTAGTCCTGGACATTCTGATTGTTTTAGTCCCTAAAATATTTAAACTTAAATATACTTTATATTTTATGTACACTTTTTATTGTCATAAATATCATAAATTTTAATTTTTGCATACATATAATATATAAATTCGAAATTACTTATACATATCTGGGCCTTGATACTTTTATCTTAAGAATGTATTCTCCATATCTCAAAAATAATGAAAAATTTTTAAAGAAATTAGAGATCAGTCTGTATTACATTAAAAAGTGACAACTAATTTGACATTAACTCAAAGTCTGCATCAAAAATTATTTTACATTGAAGTGGAAACTCAGTAAAAATGATAACATTAAATGTTTTAATGACGTCTCTAACATTAACAGTATATCATTAGAAGTATTTTAAGTCATTTGTTATGAAGATACATAATGTCATTTTTTTAATAAAGAAAAAGTTAAAAAAATTAAAATATTGACAAAAATTTCAATTTTTGCACATATATTTTAAATATTTAAAATGATGCATGTAAATTTCACTGTGTTTTAGAGATAAAAATTTAAAAGTGAGAAATAATATAAAATAAACAACCAATAAAAGTATATATATATATATATATGTATATATATATATATATATATATATATATATATACTTTTATTGGTTGTTTATTTATATTATTTCTCACTTTTAAATCTTTACTTCTA